ATATCTCCTTCCTTTATTTTTACTGTTTCAGAAGAAAAATTGGCAATTACTATCATAATGTCTCCATTTGTTCTTACTAGAGTCTTTCCAACGAGATTTTTTTCTGGTTTATCTCCAATAAAATTATGTTAGTCCAACGCAGCACCCAGGGTTTATTTCCAATTTTCCGCAAATGATCTTATCTGTACTTCCAGGAATCCTCACCAGGTTTGTGGCCAGAATTTTAATGGCTTGAGATTCCTCTTGTGTAGTTAGGACAAATTCTTCATTACCAAATTTAAGGATGTTCATAGAAGGATCGAAAGAGAAATCATGTTGGCTGATCAAATTCATTCCCAAAATAAAATCATCTCCTATATCGGCGACTATTGTTCTGTGCTTAAAGGTGGTAGATCCAAGAGTAAGTTCAACCATAGCTTCTCCTTGAACTGGTGCTAATTCGCCGGTGACTGTTTGTAGAGACAGGTTTCTAGTGAGGGGTTGGATTGCCCGAGACTTGACTAATGTTCTTTTTATTATAGAAACTTCAGCACCCGTATCAAAAGTGATGGTTTTAAATTCTCCATTAATTTGTCTAATACCGGCCTTTATATATCCGTAATCTATTCGTGTAGAATCCAGAATAAACGTGATTATACAACTCACTGTACATTATTCCCATATGACACGAGAGGATTAATAAGTGATAATCCTTCCCATATGACACGAAAGGCTTAACAAGTGATAATCCTTTTGCACGGTAACTGGTGTTTTGACATTTTTTGACAAAAAAATTTAATTTTTGATTCATGAAATTATCAATTAATAAAGAATTAAAGTTTAGTTCGTTGTATAACCTTTTTGAATACCACTCGATTTTTCAGGATTACCTAATACTTTTACCTGACACTCAACGCGTTACCAGCAACACCACTCCTCCTTCGGAGTCGTGGTGTTGCTGCGTAACGCGTTTCGTGACAGGTAAAAGTATTATCCGGTAATCCTGAAACCTCTTGCGGTATTACATTCGATTATACAACTCACTGTACGTTATTCCCATATGACACGAGAGGCTTAATAAGTGATAAGCCTTTTGGGATTATCGCGCTTGGTGGCATTTATAGCAAATTCTATTATAGAAAATTTTCTAAATTTTAAAGTTTAATTCGTTGTATAACCTTTTGAATACCACTCGATGTTTCAGGATTACCTAATACTTTTACCTGACACTCAACGCGTTACCAGCAACACCACTCCTCCTTCGGAGTCGTGGTGTTGCTGCGTAACGCGTTTCGTGACAGGTAAAAGTATTATCCGGTAATCCTGAAACCTCTTGTGGTATTACATTCGATAATCTTTTTGCCCGAATAGCAACGTAAAATCTAGAATCAGCTATCCAATTCTGTACACCTTGGCGCTTCCGCCAGATTTTCGCGACAATATGTTTGTACTGTAATTTCGAAGAATCTTCTGGAAACTCGGTATTGCTAGAGCTAGCTACCTACAGTAATTTTTTTTTACACTGAAGATGCTGCTTTAACTCTAACATACTAAAATTTTATAGAAAAAGTGCCAAGAATAATGAAATTGTGATTTTTCAAGCTGATTGGCATATATACCGGGTGGTCCTCCGGGAATGACATCGATTGCTTATGGGAAAACTGTGAAAGGTAAAAATTTGAAAATTTGGCAACATAGCAATGTCGATGGGGGACATCCAGGTAAAATATTTTCAAGATGGCGGCATTTCCGGTCATACCGGAAGTTGATACCAACTCGGTTATTTTAAATAGAACACCCCATATATTAATGTATTTTTGGATTCTACATAAAATTCTGAGCAGATTTCATGTAATATACCCTATACCTAAGTTCAACTGTTTTGGAAATATTGACAGTTGAAAATTGACTTTTTGCAACTTTGACAAGCTGTAAAACCTAATTGGTTAATTTTAGAGGAAAACCGATTTCACATTCCTATCTTAGATTTTGATAAACTATCATTTGACACCAACTTTGAACTTAAACGGAGATTAAATTTAACTGAAATTTTTAATCATGGATTTAATTCAAAGTTGATGTCAAATGATAGTTTATAAAAATCTAAGATAGGAATGTGAAATCGGTTTTCCTCTAAAATTAACCAATTAGGTTTTACAGCTTGTCAAAGTTGCAAAAAGTCAATTTTCAACTGTCAATATTTCCAAAACAGTTGAACTTAGGTATAGGGTATATTACATGAAATCTGCTCAGAATTTTATGTAGAATTCAAAAATACATTTATATACGGGGTGTTCTATTTAAAATAACCGAGTTGGTATCAACTTCCGGTATGACCGGAAATGCCGCCATCTTGAAAATATTTTACCTAGATGTCCCCCATCGACATTGCTATGTTGCCAAATTTTCAAATTTTTACCTTTCACAGTTTTCCCATAAGCAATCGATGTCATTCCCGAAGGACCACCCTGTATAGACTCAACTCCAAGTTCGATAATTTTTTTTTTGGGAAAATTGGGATGCTTGGAAGTTTAAAGTAATTTTTCTCCAGTTTCATGGCAAAAGTTCCAGGGATAATATAATGAAGTTGTGATAAAAGTTTTGGCACATTTTTTAGTTTTTGGACCGTATTTTTTTCCTTGGAATTGGAAATTTTTATCTCAATTTTGACTTTTCTAATCGATACAGCGAGTCATCAATCAATTACATATCGAAATTTAAATGGCCTAATTTGTAGTTCTATAGAACATTTGGGGTCTCTCAGAAAATTAGAAAATTTGTGAACTTGTGCTTCTGAGTCAAATCTCAATTTCCAATTTGATTTCTTGTATGAGAAATACGAGGGGAAGGTCACTTGATAAATATGTGTATCGGGTGATTGTCTAATGTGAAAGTCAGAAATTCACGACTTGACTTGATTTTCTTGACTTGATATCAAGTCAAAATCAAGTCAAGAATTTGTTTTTGAAATTCAAGTCAAATCAAGTAGTTACACATCAAGTAACTTGAAAATCAAGTTTTTTAAGCTAACTACTTGATTTTTCTTGAAAAAATTGTACTTTTTTGATATTAATCTGATTAAATGCCAAAACGCAATAACAAAAAAAATCTATGTATATATTTAATCTTTTATTTAAAAAACATCTAAAAACGAAAACTCTAACAAACTCAGTTAAATAATAAATGAAATAATATGAAATAAAAATACGAAATATTCTGAAAATCCTATAGCCGCCACTCTTATTATGTATTTCAATTATTTTTAGTTTATTGAACTAGGAGTAAGGAGTATGTAATGGGTATGGTTATTAAATTAATACAAAATAAAGGGCGGAATAAAAAATCCTGCACGCAGGCGCTTGACCCCCCAGGAACGGGCCTGGCTGTAACCTCGGTGAATCCCCTATTTTAACGCTTCGATGCGCATTTCACAGATCGCTATCAAGTAATATCAAGTAGTTTGATTTTACTTGATATCAAACATCAAATTTTCAAAAGCTTGAGTTTTCAAGTCAAGTATTTAAGAAAAAATTCAAGCTACTTGGCTTGATGAATCCCTGGTACTATCATTGAAACTGCTAGATCCATCATGCATATACTAATGAAGATCTTTCACAACTTTTTTGGGTTGAAGTCATAAATACATCGGCGTACATTTTGAATAGGACTGGTGATTTTAGTATCGAAGGAAAATCTCCATTTGAACTGTGATATGAGAAAAAGTCTTCTTGAAAACACATGAGAATTATTAGAACATCCTGTTATGCCCATGTACCAAAGTCAAGAAGAAAGAGAATTGATAAAAAGGCAGTGAAAGGCATACTTATAGGATATGACCAAGATGATGGATATCGGATTTGGTGTAAAGAATCTGAGAAACTAGTCAGATCGAAAGATGTGATATTCGACGAAAAACTCATAACTTCAACGTTGCTATTGTTGGAAGACTCTGTTGGAACTTCTCAGCAAAAACAATAATTATTGTAAGATTGTCAGAAGTAGGGAAGGTACTTCAAAACAAGAAACTAAAGAAAACAATAGACAAGACAGCGAAGAAGATGATAGTTTGGGGAATCACTCGTTCTGAGTAGAATTACCAGATAATGACATTTCAGAAGAAGTCCCAATTGTAGCGAGTAGACAACTGAAAGATAGAAATCAGATACAAAAGCTTGCCAGTTTTAAATATTTCGCTATGATGGTTGCTGCAGACATTATGGAAATAAATGAGCCAATTAGGTACCGAAAAGCTGTGTCAAGTAATAGAGCAAATGACTGGAAAATGGCTATGGGAAGAGAAAGTCTTTAGAGGAGAACTATGTTTGGACTTCAGGAAAGCTACCCAATGGTAAGAAGGCTATAGCAAATAAATGGGGGTACAAGTTAAAATACAATCCAGATGGCTCTATAGATAAATTCAAAGCTAGACTAGTCGCAAAAGGTTATATTCACAGAAAAAATATCAAAATTATGATGAGACATTTAGCACAGTTGCCAGATTTGCTATAATACGATCTGTTTTGAGTCTATCTGCCAGTGAAAATTTAGGTCTAAGCCAGTTTGATGTATGTACAGCATTTATATATGGTGAGCTTCAAAAAGAAGTATGACAGAGTGTCAATCAATTAATAACTTTTGTTAGTGTGTCAAATATATTTTCTATTTTCCTCATTTGAATCATGGGTCGCATTCACCAGCACTCAACATGTTGAGTGATTAGTGAGCGGCTTTGTTCCAACAAATGGAATACACAAGGTAGAACAGTTTTGATTGACCTAGAGCTGATTTTCATCTGTTTTCAACAAAGCCGCTGACTAATCACTCAACATGTTGAGTGCTGGTGTACGTGACCATGGTTTCTCAAACTTTAACAACAGATTCATCACAGGCATTATTCATATAGTTCTAAGATCAGATGTCAAATCATGCAAATTGCCAAACTTAAGTTTTTCTTGAGCTGGGTCTCATTCATCAGTATTGGATGTTTCTATACCTAAATTTAAGTTAAAACCAATCATTACCGTCTAATTTTTGTCCAAAACTCTTCGCAGCTGCAGTCAAAGCCAACTTTGAATTGCTATAAACACCTCCATTTAGTTTAATGAACAATCTTTCATAATATTCCGGTTGCGGATGCAAATTTTCCAGGCTCAAATCGGACAAATAGGCCGTCAACGAGCTTGTAAACACTATCCGGCTAGGGGCTGATTTTTTCAGCAAGTCTACAACAGATTTTTTTTTTTTTTTAATTATTTGTATAAGGAAACAACAATCTTTTACCTAAAAGCAAATGAGTGAGCAAAAAATGACCAAAATAGTTTATATGCATTGTCCTTTCTAGTCCATCTTCAGTTGTATATTTTTTTCTGTACTCTCCTATACCAGCATTGCAAACCAAAATATCCAGCCTCGATTCAGTTTTCAAAATATCCGAGGCAAAATCCCTCACTGATTGAAGGGATTGAAGTTCAATCTTCTTACCTTTGTATTTTGTACATATTAAAATCAATTAGTTCACAAACAAATTACTCTTACCTATAATTAACTGATTGGTAGTCAGTCGCTTAATTCTCTCGATTACTTCTGAAGAGTCCGAAATGTCGGCTATGATGACTCGACATCCTTTCGAAGCTAATGCTAGAGCTACTTGGTATCCGAGACCTGCAATTAATTTGTATTTAATTGTTGTGTTTGCATGTCGATCAAATTAAAATTGGAAAATTTCTATAAATTATCGATTCCGATGTAAGCTTGTGATAATTGGAAATTCCAAAACAAATTAGGGAAATAATATAGTCTGGAATTGCATTTCAAAGATAACATTTTTCTACGATTTTTCACTTTTTTCAATCAAAGATGTATTAGAGACTGACATTTGAAGCTGTGCAGAGAAAAGCAATGACAGCTGCTGAGCTTCCAAAATAGAAGAACAACTTATCTTGACCTACCAAACACTTCACAACAAAACTCAAACAGTTAAACACCTCTATGCTTTGGACATAGATTCGGAGCTCCAAGGCCACAGTCTCAAGCTGAAAATAGAAAACTACTTCACAGTGTGTAGGGAAAACTTTCTACCAAATAGAGTCTTTGCCTTCTGGAATGAACTCCCAGCTGAAATAAAAACTACCTACTACAATGAAACCTGAACAAAAACTTGGTAGAAAAAAACCGAAGATATTAATAAAGACATGTTGTTTCTAATGCAAGAAAACATCGTGGGACAGGAACAAAAGAGTCGTAGCTCGTAGGACCGTTAAACAAGCCATTGGACCTAAAAGTATTCGAGTTCCACGAGTCCTCCGAGTACCGAAAATAGGCAGGAATATTCTCCTACTGCCCCTGTTCGCTGGACTTAGTGCATTGGGTGCCCTAAGTAGTGGAGCTGCTGGCATTGCAAAAGCGATAAAAGATATTCATTTTGCAAAAGATAAACTTGCCGAGTCTAGAGGCCTATTCTTTACAACGATATCGTTATGGTAACGACAATTTGAAAAAAGCTCTCGTTGTCGTTACTGACTTGACGATTACAACTTCGTTTCGTTGGCATCACTTTCTGAGGCAATGGATGTGTATTATTTATTTATTTATTGACGGGAAATCCCATAATAGCATACAGAACATCTATATACAACAATTAGACATTTAGACAACAAGAAAGACAAGACTACTCAAGAATATAACAAGATGTCGAACATTACTTAGAATAAAATTATTTCTCATTACTGAATATCACATTAAACAATTAATAGGTACAGGAACCTTGTTTGAGGAGTTCAGTTTTCTTTTAAAGTCTTCACTCGGGCGAATATCTTTAAGTCATTGGCAAAACACAGAAACTCACTATTAATGAAACAAGAACCAATATCGTTGATGAAAATATTGAATAACAGGTGAGATCCTTGTGGTACACCTAATGGGCTGTGAGTAGAACCTGATGATCTTGACTGTTTGGTTTCTGTTCCTAAGGTAGTCGCTGATCCACGCAAGCAAAGTACCAGATATACCAATTCTCATAAATCTCGCAAGTAGGAAGTTGTGGTTGACAAGGTCGAAGGCTTTAGTAAAATTGGTATAATATGGAGTGAACAACTTCACCGTTTTCAAGAATCCCTGAGATTTTATCCTGGTACGTCAGGAGGTTAGTTTTGGCCGAAAACCTGCTTGCTGTTCGATTAGGCTAGGATTGATGATAGGAGTTAAGGATTCAGTTACTATATTCTCAGAGACCTTAGGGCCGAATTTATAGTCGTTCCTTGTGCCTTCCTTGGAGGTCGTGAGTTTAGAATGGACACTTGCTACTATTTGACAAGTTAGTCATATCAATTCTAAACGTTCAAGGCTTCCTTAAGGTCTGAGGAAACCTCAAGGAGTGCGTTCAAAGACGGCAATGCTAATGCCAAAACCTACTATTCCCCTTCTACCGGCGATGCCAAATCTGATGTGAATTTACTGGAACGCAAAATACCGTTTCTCAATATGCAATCCAAACCACGTGACATTCAATATGGCGTGGCGACCATACATGGACCAAAAAATATCTAGTTTCTGCCCGACTTAATAGTTAACGTACTTAGTTAATAAATATTTTATTGAATAATCAAAATCGAAGTTGCAAACAAACAAAATAATTGAAATATGCATGAAAACCCATATTCAAAACTAACTTGCCTGGCCGCCACGCCATATTGAATTTGGTCTCATCCAATCAAAATTCGTATAACCATTTCTAGACTCAGTTGAAAGAGCCTCCAAAAGTTACTTTACCGCGGCCGATTTGGAACGTGTCGTGTAAAGCCAACCGTTTTTGGCACGCTGGAGCCGAACTTGAACGCAATATGCCAATTTTGGCTCGGCTTTAGCCGTTTTTGAACGCATCCAAGGAAGGACTATAAATTCGGCCCTTAGGGATAGTGTTCCTAACTCCCTTCGAAGTTAAGACCCTGTTTATGATTATCGTAACCAAGGTATTATCTAGTTATAATAGTTCAGTAGGAAATAAAGTATTAGGTCTGTTCGCAGAGAAATCACAAACCAGTCAGAGTAAATCTCATTGGTTGAAACTAGTTTTCTGACTGTTTCTGATTGTTTTCAACCAATGAAATGCGCTCTGACTGGTTTGTGATTGCTGTGCGAACAGGCCTATTTTATCCCATTTTGACGTTTAAAAATGACATTATTGAACGCATAATGACAAAGGTAAGTAGACGTTTATCACCTGAGTGATTTAAAATATTTTTAACTCACTCTCGGTCTTTTAAGTCACTCTGCCAGTATAAAAATCTGCTACAAATACAAACAAACAACTAGTTATACCTTAGCAACCACCAATTTCAATAATTAGCGCTTTCATAACTACTAAATGAATTCTTTTTATAATTTGATTCCTTACTTTTTAAATGTCCATCAAAATGGGATAAAATTTTGTATAAATCACGTGAGTTAAAATGTTTATTCATTCGAAGAAAATTAACCCACTCGCTAGGGCTCGTGGGTTAAACTCAGAGGCGCCGACTTTTGAGAATTCTCATGGGTGCAGAATAACGACTGTGTAACATTGTTTATAAGGGGAGGGGGAAGCTCGCCTCAGGCGCCGCCAGATGCGAAATTTTTTTTCTAGGAGTGTGCGAAAAATGTTTTTTTCTGCACGCATTTTAAGCCACTTTTTAAGCACTAATGCGAAAAAGTGAAATAGTTATGTAATGTTGAGTCCCTTGGTTCTTTCATGTCCTAAAATATGCGTGCGAAAAAGTACTTTTCCTCATTTAATTGCTACGTACTACGCACACCAGGGTTGCCAGGTCGAAAAAAAATTATTCATGAGACAATGCAGCAAAAATCATGAGATTCTCAGTAAAAATCATGATATGACTAATTTTATCGGGAATCGACAAAAAAATGCGTCTATTTTAATATTATGCGGTTTTATTGGATAAAAAAAAAATCACTTTTATAAACTGCGATCATATAACGAAAATAAAAACCTCAAAACACAAAAATTACCTAATAGGTAGGAACCTACTTCCTATATTAGGCGTAACGTCATTCCAGAAGTTAACTTTTAGTTATTCTGTCAATTTTTTTAAATAATGCCCGTCATAAACCTGTTTCTTGGTTCTGATTTATGTATATTAGGTCTCTTCACACAGAAATCACGAACCAGTCAGAGTGAATTTCATTGGTTGGAACAAATTTTCTGACTGTTTTTAATCAATGAAATTCGCTGTGGCTAATTTGTAATTTCTGTGCGAACAAACCTATAAATTATAGAAAGAGATTTTTATTAAAAATCATGGAATCATGAAAAATGTGTCCAAATCATGAGATCTCATGAAAAATCATGAGACCTGGCAACCTTGTGTGCACTGACCTTAACAATGGATTTCACTATAAGGCTAGGCCTTTTGTGTATAAAGTTTATAGTGTTTTCATATTTTAATATGGTAAATTTCTATTTTTTTTTCTGCCAGACTTTGGGAAAGAAATGGACTTAAGGAAGTTATGAGGCAAAATATGAAGCGATGTCACTTTGAAAAAACCTTAAAACCATTACTGAGATCTGTATTTGTATTATCGACCTTACTAGATTAATAGCGTTTGCATACCTATGTCCAACTCTTTCTCTAAGCCTGGTATAAAAAAGATAGAAATACCAATTTCTTTTGCAAACCCCATTTTATCACATAAAAACACCATAAATTATACACAAAAACACAATAAATCAAGTTTTTTGGTACTCACCCCTTGAACTGTGGCCCCCATCTAAACCACAAAGTTCATGTACAAAATAAACACATAATTCGAACCGGGACACTTTTCCGAACACTCTAGAGTACTTTTTCCAATTGAAAACTGGAAAATTTCGAGAAAAACGGGCGGACGAAATAAAAACGCGTTGGCCATTTTCCGCTTATAATGGTCGACTGTCAAGTGTCAAAATTGCCATGCCATTGTCAAAAGACATTCCAAAGCCTACTTGGTTAATTAAAACAATAATAAAGGCTTATAATTATATTAATTATAATTAATTTTAGTGTAATTAGACCTTAATTAAGTCCTAATTAGTTATTTTATTCGATTTTGAATGGTTTTTGTTGTTTGCGATTGCAGCGCCATCTAGTGACAAATGCGTGTAGTTTCAATTATTATTTCAAAATGGCTACGCGTTTTTTTTTCGAGTGCTAGTTTTTCGTTGAATTTTCGAGTTTTCAATTAGAAAAATTATATAAAAATGTTCGGAAAAGTGTCGTGGTTCGAATTCTGTGTTTATTTCACCCGGAAAATTAAATTTCTAAGTGGGGGCCGCAGTTTTGAGAGGTGAGTGCAAGAAATTCCATTTATTATTATAATTGCGAAAACCATTGGTAAAATTAGTGCAAAAAACATGTATTTCCGTCACTTTCTTTCACATGCTAGTAGAAAGGACACGAATACCTACACTCAGTGTGCACTTCGCACACGCTTTAAGTGACTTTTTGTTTTATTTTAGCCGCCTCTGTCAACTGTCAAACTGTCACTGTCAATCAATGAACTATACGCACAGCAAAGGACTTATTATAAAAGATCCGCGATGTATCGAGAAGATTATATCGATATTTTTTCGATATATCGAATATAAAATATCGGGACTTTCCGTTGTGCGTGGAACTGTCCCAATTATT